CACCTTACCATGTTTGGGATACCTGGCAATATAGGAAAGCAAACAAAATATTTTGTTGCCCATATCAGGTATCGTGAAACTTCATGTAATGCAGCTGTCAGTGTCTAGTTCAAGTGCAGAATGACTGAGTAAAGGACTAAGAGAGCATCAGTCCTTGGCTTTTACTTCCCTGGTGGGAACCTCTGCAAGGAGTCAAAAAAACTGCAGAACTGTGCAGAGCTGGAGAGTTTGTATTTCTTCCCCTCCTGTTGGGTGATATTGCAGAGGGAGAAGCAAACCAGCTTTTCCTTTTTTGCTACAGTAAGGTTGTCTCCTTACTTACTAGTACCCGGTGTAAACACAGCCAAGCACAAAAGGCATTGGAACTTTTCAGTCGCGTGCATGCAATTTCTTTAGAAATGTCAAGAATTCAAGCCCTAGCAGCATTTCTGGTTAATAGCTGCTTCTAATCTTTGAAACATTTGTTTTGTGACACAAGATTAATCACAGGAAATCATCTATTCTAAAGGTCTTTGGTTTATTTTTTATTGCTGGAAGATACATATATTTAAAAGCCTCTCCTGAGGCTTTTTCTCAGCTTCTTCTCCTAGGAATGTACATATTGCCTTCATCTGTCTCCCTTTATGAGCCTGCTGCATGTTGACAAGTTCTATAAAATTATTTCCAGCCTGTTTGAATGTTTTTTCCCCTTATTCAGCTGTAGGCACAATGACAAATCAGAGTTGCAGTATAAAATGTATTTTTCTGGGAAATGACCGTGGTGAATTCAGTGCCTTGCTGGTAACTCACTGTATTTCAAGGCGGAAGAGCTATATTTGATCTTGGGGGTGGAAGAGAAAACCATAGTGTGCAGGCTGCTGGCTGCTCTGTCACTAACTTATTGGCAGTTTGGAGGAAAAAAACAAATCTGCATTTTCTTTTATCTTTAGGCCAGATATTAACATGAATTATGGCACTAGCTATTTCAACAAGAGTTCAGTGGAAAATCTAAGTCCTTGGAGAGTTGTGTGTAGTTCTGAGCCGTAACTAAGTCTTTAAACTGTCACACTCCTGCAACTCATAATAAATGGTAATAGGTAAAAAGCCACTGCTCCTTTAAATCAGTGTCACCAGTGACTCAGAATATCTATTGATTTTTTTTCTTTATTCCTACCAACAGTTTCAATTAAGATTCAGCAGATCCACTCTGAGAAAACCGTGTATAAAACACTTCATAATATTTTGGTTTAATATTGCATTTTAAATTCTGTTTAAGAAATGAACATTTAGAGGTAATTATTAAACACATTAAATCATTGCTCTAAAAGGCTAGTATAATGCCCGATTCATAGCTTTTGTTATAAATGTTTGAGTGTATAATTACTAGGCTGTATAAATATATATTTCATCAACTTTTTTTCAGTCAACAGCTACACAAATTTTAAAAGTCAATTATATTCACTCAGACATAATGCTTTCTGAATGCAGGAGAATTACAACGTGGTTTGGGGAAAAAAGAGAACAAAACAAAACCAAACCACACCGTATTTATCCTTACAAATAGTGTCTGTACCAACAAATCATGTAGACAAAATGATTACAGGCTATTTGTCTTTACCCTTTGTAAAGCAGTAAGCAAATTTTAGTGCTTCATCCGTACATAAACCATTTGCTAATTTGGGGTTTGTAGCACATTTATAGCACATTTGTCAGGCCCTTTACCTGTATTTGTGTGTTTTGGGGAGGCTAACTCCAGATGTGCAGCAGCTGTCATTTTGCATAGGATTGTGTGACCATATTCTGGTGGAAAGAAGGCAACCTGAGTCTTTGTTGTTCTCCAGGAAATCTGGAAAGCTGCAGAAAAAGAAACATGAAGGGCAGCCATTAGGGAGAAGAGCAAGATGCATGTGTAGAATAAATGCATATTAATAAAAAGGTTTGCCTCCTGAGTCACCGTGCTTCCCATTTAGATTTCCATAGTGGCAAGTGGCAGCTGCAGTAATTGCTTGCATTAAAAAGTAATACCAGGAATATAATATATTTTTAGTTCTCACTACAGCAGTTTAGCAACTAGAAACAGAAAACAAAGTTAACATTGCAGTTAAGCAGACCATGTTTTCCGCAGACCACCCAAGATCTGTGAGTTGTGATTTGGAAACCTCTGGCAAGAAATCTTGAAGTGCAACACTGGTATCTCTGAAATTTCTTTCAGAGGCACGTACATTTGTAGCTCGTACGTTTGTTAGTTGGTACATGTAGATCTTTCTGAAGTCCTCTGCCATTTCACAAACAAACTTAGATTGTCCATTTCTATTTTCACTTGGCAGGCTTCCATCCTGCTTCCTAAGCAGGCCAGGAGTTTTTCTTTGCTTTCAAGATTGTGTTTCAAGTGTGTTGGGGAGCTTCATATGCTAAACATGACTTCACTGCCATCAACTTTTGCAGGCCTCTGAGAAGTACATTAGCTTTCCGACACATTCAGTTTTCTACTAGTTTGGAAATTAGCAGGTTAAAATAAAAAAGCTGGAATGCATATCCTGCGTGCAAGTGAAAAATGTTAAGAAATAGATTGCTGGTGTTCTTTTATGCAAAGAAGGATTAATTGCTGGAAGATGCACTAAAACGGGGGTTGATATTTCCTGTATTATAGTTTTTAAATGCCAGAACATGAAGAGACCTTCACCACTGACTGGTGTTCGAAGTTCGTGATAAGCTCTAGGCTAAAGAGCCATCAATTGTTTGCATGCTTAAAAATCTACTTTATTGAGGAGACGGAGGGCATTTGACATCACCATTCTAAAGCTTTTCCTTCTGAGAACAGTCTGAGGTGTTCAGTCCATATTTTCAGTGTTCTGGCATTTCATTGTTGAAGGGCTCATGTTCTTTGGCTGTTTTCTTGAAAAAATGGAGGATATTGTAAATCTATATTGTAAAAGAGTAATGAATGTAAAGCCTGGTGCAAGGAGAAATACCATTACTGAAATACTAGTTCTCCCCAAAAACTCCAGACCATCTGATGTATCTGAATATTGTAAGGAACCTTGTCTATTCTTACCTGTGCTGCAGCTGTAATAAGAAGGAACATCACAAACCAAATACCTAAATCTGGTCCACATGAAGGTGGTGCAGTGGCCTTGGAGGGGAAAGGAGAGACAAGAATTCCCAGTTCATCTCCAGGAGCCACTGTTTTATGAACAGGAGCAATATCAGTAAACAGGTTGAGCAGGAAATCTCCTTTACAGAAAGGAAAAATACGAGAGGGGAGAAGTGAGATGAAAGATAGCAACAGTGGGGGAGAGGAGGGACTGGAAAACTCCCCAGGTCAAAACAATAGGAAAAATGGCAAAGAACTGCAAGAAAACATATATATATAAAAAATTAAAACCAACTTTTTAAATATTTAAAAAGCCATTGAGACCAAAAATAAAAAAATTAAGCAATGAAGTGGAGAAAAAGACCGACTTGAAGAAAAGATATTGATTTATCTTTAGCCTGTGCCTCTTTGTGAAACCTGAGTTTAGAAGACCTTTGGAAACCAGATCAGTAAAATCTTTAAAATCATTTAATTAAATTGAAGGCCAAAAGATAAACACTTACGATAAAAACTTCTACCTTTATTTGCCAGAACAGGAGTAAAAAGTGTTCGCTGCTCTTTTACCTTCCAATTGATTTTTCCTTCAAGCGAATTAAAAAACATGCTACATTTGGACCAGAGAAGACATTGATGTACCTTCTCCCGATTTAGAAATGTAGAATGCAAGGTAATGGTCACTTAAAGGTAATTAAAACTATAGAACAAATGACAAGTCTACACAGATTCAAGAGGAAGCAAGTTTCTAAGTTTGAGACGAAACTGCCAGCAACTGTTGTCCAGTAATACTGGCGATAAAGGATGATTGGCTTAATTTCCAGTTACTACAACTAGAAAATTTATTTCTTCATTTACTGCTTACTTCAAATGTAATTTATTTAGTTTGGTCAGGTGTTAAATCAGAAGCATGCCGAATTTAAATGTAGCCTTTTGGGTGTTCATTATATTTTTACAGAAAGAAACCAGTGATCTCAAACAGTGGTTTTGAAATACTGCCTGGTTTAGTGAAAATTGATTTTTTCTGCCTATAAGAGACACCTTTGGAAAGAAAATAACTACACTGATTATAACATACTAGTTGTATATACCATAAAGCTATTTTCTCTGAAGGAACTTTGTCCCCCACCTTTCTAAAGCTGGTTTCTTGCATCTTCATTTCAAGTGGTAATTCTTGAGTGCTAAACCTGAAGTAAATGGAGCACTCCTTCTGCACAATCATAGATAAGCTTTAAATTAAGTACAGATGAGCTTGACAAAATGTTTTCAACCTGTGACCTTCTCAGAGTCTTTCCCAAAGAGGACTGAAGGTCACCTATTGTTAACTGTGTGATTGAGGCTTGATTGTACGTTGGTTTGAACCTGGGTGGATTTCTCTGTCTTCACGGTTTTAAAAGTGATCATAAACCAGTTACTTGTGCTCTGTTACTGTACTAAAATGCCAGAAGAAAGGCCAAGGGAATTTGTATTTTTACATTAAAATATCAAAGAGAAGGTCATGGAGTCTGGTCTTTATTGTGCGTGGTGAGTCAGCAGGGGTGGATCATAAGCTGTTTCAGCCCTCAGCTGAGTCAGCTGGGCAATTCTGCGTTCATTTGGGTTGGGTTTGATCTTTTTTAAGAGCAAGGACTTTTCTTCCACCTGAGTGGTAGGCTCTTGGACTAAAATTTGTGCTCAGACATGGTAACAGCTGCTTGGTTTTCAGCATTTCAGTGTCTTCCATAGCATATAGTGTCCCAATAATTCACAGTGTACTCAAGCAAAAACAGAGTAGGAAAAACTTAATTCAGAAGGGTGCATCTGTTTTGCCTTATGATTTGTTGGCATCTGACCTTTGATAAGGACTGGTTCATACTTGCAGATTTTTAGAATTCATCTTGAGTGTGTTCCTGTCTGAACTTTGTATTAGTTCTTGTTTTCTTCTCTTTTGCAGATTACAGATAGAAGAATCTTCTAAACCTGTAAGGCTATCACAGCAGCTGGACAAAGCCGTAACCACAAACTATAAACCAGTGGCTAATCATCAGTACAATGTAAGTAGCTTTCAGCATTTTCCCTTCTTCTCTTCAGGAGGAGTCTGGCTCAGGACTCACAGTTGGCCACTGTCGTTGGAAACACTCCATGTTATCTGGTTTCTCCCTGATTTGGTCTTCTGGGGATCTTCTTTCTGTCTCAAGACCAATATCACCCTTGGAGCTAACATCTGCCAGTTCTGACTCTCTCATGTTACCTGATGGAGGGCAGATCGCCTTCACCCAAGCGTTTTCTAGTGACTTTATTACATTCTTCCTCTAGTCTTTGTTTTTTATGTGTAATTTTGAAGTTTGGGGATAAAAGGCAGTTCTGGCCCTGTGCTGTGAGGTGTGGAAGCACTCCTTTGAGCCAAATAAAATACCATACAGAGGTGGGTAAAAGGCTTGAAAAAAATCATTAGTTTCCAGTCCTTTGGAGGAACTGACAACAAGTAAGAACGAGTAACAGCTGATAATTTTTCACAGTTTCATACCTTCACAGTACATGTTGTTAGCATCATTGGCTCTGTCAATATTACACCCACACTGCTGTTTCAGATCAGTTGATGTACATACAAACTATAATGTCCTTTTTCTTAAAGATCCTCTTTGAGTAATTTGTAAGTATGCATATATAATCCCTGTTAATGTTGAATGTGAGAAATGTTAAGTCATACTGAAAACGAGTCACTGTGTTAGTCATTTAAACTTTTACACTTTTTATTAAGATTTTATTTACATAAAACAAATGACAATATGCAGGATGATATTTAAGCATTATTCGGAAAGGCAGTCTGTTTCCACAGAACCCAAAATAATCATTTCTCCCGCATGGGACTGTTTTGTAGTAGTTACTGTTCAAAGCCTGATCTATACATAGATGATCATACCAGTATAACTGTTTCAGCTAAGGGAATGACATTTAACCAAAATAGTCACACTGGTCTACCCTGCTATGCAAATGCAATTTTATATAAGTATATTGTTTTATGGTGCTACTGTTATTGTCCTCCTTTAATTCTGGAAGAAGCTACAGTGATGTACAGCTTCTCTTTTTTAGTGGGATGCTGTGTCATTTCCCTGACACTAGCATAATTACAACAGCATGACTTCAGCCTGGAGACAATCTTTGAATCTTTATTCCAGTTACAAACTGCTGTCGTTGTATCATTACAGAAATCTAAGTCTTGTGTGGGATTTAGGGGGTATAAGCAGGATGTAACCAGGCTTCTTAAAAGTAATGATGCTCTCGTGTCCTAATTGTAATGTTTTTATTGGTTACATAGCTGTCCATGCTAATGGAAATCTGTTGGCAGTGTGCTTACCTTTCATATTTAACTTAAAGGAGTTCTAATGGGAAAAATCTAGTAGGAATTACTTGTACTTGAGTCACTCTTGACCTTGCCTTGATTCTAAAGGCCCAGGCACGACTACTTTCTACAACACCTTCCTTTTCATTGAGTCTTCCATTAAGGTTCAGGTTAGATGGCTGAAGGGGTGTACAAGAGGGAGAACAAGTCCATGAACCTTTTAAACCTCTTAGTTAAATTTTTTTCCTGCTGTTTTCAAGCAGAAGTTGCTTTCTTAAAACTTGCTGCTTTGCTTGTAATCGTATGACAACCCTGGTGGGGACAAGACTTTTCACAAGAAAGAAATAAAAATGTACAAACTACCATACATACTGATACATTCAGTCATCTTCTGGGGAGCTTCTGAGGAAAAAATTAGTGTCTACTAAATAGGAAAGAAAAGAGTAACATTTCCTGGACAAAGAGATGGTAAAATACTAAGTGGGGCTTAAGCGTGGCTGCTCCATGTACCCATAAATGAACATACAACAGGAAGGAAGAGGGAAATATAATACATGTAGATGGGAAATAGTAATAGCTTGCCTGAATACAAGGATGGGGGAAATGATTTTTTTTCACCCCAATAAATTATAATAAGCCTATCTTTTTGTTAGAAAAAGTTACAAATCCATTACAATATATGCCAGGATTGAGCCTAACTTTTCTTCTGTGGGAAAGAGACATTAATTTTCTGTGTATCTGTAAATATTACACGTGTTTACAAGGCTGCAGTGTTAATATTCTTGCAGCTGGAATCTTTCTGCGACTTAACTGTTATTTGTAATACAGCAGAAAAGGTCTTTAATGGTTCTGGTTACCCCTTCAGAGGCTTCTTTGTGGTTTTCCCCTCTTCCCACTCTCCTGTACCATAGAGGTTGGTACCTATGCACCGGGAGAAGGGAGAACCTTTCAGATTTCTTCCAAACATCTTCAGATGAAACTTTAGATGTAGTCTCATTTCTATATCACCTTTGTATTAGCTGTCTACCAAAGCAGTGTAATACATCAGCTACAGTATTAATGATACCTTCAGGAAGGCAATTTTGGCAGCTTTTCAGCAAGCTTAGCAACATCCTGGGAAGGTAAACAAAGAGAAATTGATTCCTGTATGAAGTCTTGCAGGGATAAACTCAGAACTGCTGCACTCGACAGCTTGTTCTAAAATGGTCCTTCCTTGAAATGAAATCATATTTTGATGCTTTTTAAATTTAAAAACCACACAATTTAAAGAACTCTAGTTTACCATGTACATGTGTTCAGTAATACGAGTCTCAGAAAGTGCTCTAAGCCTACTGCATAAAACATCCTGATTGCTCATAACAAGTTACAGCGCAGCCTTTCTTGGTTTTTTTCCTTCCTGTTTTCTTTGCAGTGTGGGCAAAAGACAAAACGAAGAAAACAGCAACATACACCATGCTTTTTTTCACTTCACAACATGCTCCATGTATTTTGTACAGCAGTGGGAGCTGTTGCTGGAGTTCGAGGAAAGTGCTGGAGTGTTTTCTAATTAAGACGTGGGCAAGTGGGACACCATCTGCAAATACCTTTTCATCAAAGGGAGGGTTTGGTATTCAGGGTTTTTTTATGAGCTGATTTTATACATTAATCATAGAATTACAGAATGGTTTGAGTTGGAAGGGACCTTAAAGACCATCTGGTTCCACCCCCCTGCCATGGGCAGGGACACCTTCCACTAGACCAGGTTGCTCAAAGCCCCATCCAACCTGGCCTTGAACACTGCCGGGGATGGGGCAGCCACAGCTTCTCTGGGCAACCTGTGCCAGGGCCTCAGCACCCTCACAGGGAAGAATTTCTTCCTAATATCTAATCTAAATCTCCCCTGTTTCAGTTTAAAGCCATTTCCTCTTGTCCTGTCTCTACATGCCATTATAAAAAGTCCCTCTCCAGCTTTCTTGTAATTCATTAATTATTAATTAATTAATAATATTAAAATATCCACATTACATTTGTATAGGGAATACAAACACTCTACTTTGATTTACTGTAGCTCATCCAGAAAATGTAAAATAGAAGCTCGGGCTGGCAAGAGTGTGCAGAGGCACTAAAGCAACAGAGAAAGAAGAATGCTGGGCATTGCAATTTACTGGGGGGGGGGGGGGGAGGAAGTG